CATCAGCCTGTGTTCCAGTCAACCCAGCACTGTACACTGGATTCTGTACTAACTACAGTATGTGTATTTATGGTTTCATACACTCGTACTTGATGATGTAGCTTAATACATAGAGTAAATTTAACTGCAAGCCATTTTTAAACGAGGATAACAATAAACTTATAACAATACAGAACAGTTGATTACTTTCATCCATTTTTAGAAAATCTTGTCTCCCTGCAGTGCTACCGCCAGCCTTTTTTATGCCCTCCACTTGACGATGATTATTTCCATTCATAAGCTTAAACTAAATTTTAGTGCTTTTCCCCGTAAAAACTTCTTTTGTTAATGGCGCACCACGGAATTGAAGCCGGCGCCAGGCATTGCTGAAAAACAGATAAAATCATTACCTCTCAAATAGTCTCTTCTCTGGCAGAAAGGGCTTTCTTTTCTTCTAAAATATAGGCTTTAGAATTCCATTTCTCTTAGAGCTAATGCGAATTTTACTGCCTCTAATTTTAGATTCAAGTGCAGCCTAGAATAAAAATCCGTCGTCTGACAATTGAATTTATAGATAGTTGTGAATATTGCCGGCTCAGATTAATGGAGTCATAGAATTTCAAAGAGCGGGAGGGAGGGTGGGTGGAACAGAGAGACAGAAAGAGAGAAAGAAGAAGAAAAGGGAGAGAGAGAGAGAGAGAGAGAGAGAGACGGGCGAGGAAAGGGAACTTTTGGGCCAAGTTAAAGAGCCGTCTCCTGTAGAGAGACTTAAAGCAGTTACAAAGTGTTATAAAATAGAGAGTGTTACAACGCTTCCTCCTCTTCTTTTGTTCTTTTCCTCTCGGACTGAACGTTCTTCCTCTCACGCTCTGCAGGAGTGTCAGCACCTTTCCTCTGCCACCCAAACCAGTTCGGCCCTGGTGCCGTAAATAGAACAGGAGATAATGTTTATAGTGTAAATTTGCTGCCAAGAACAGGCTTTTGTGTTTGTAGCCATTTTAACCAGCTTTGTACTGAGGATAAATACATGAGCTACACTAGGAACATTACCAGAATGTTCTAGAATGGAGTCTGTCACCTTTAGCATACTGGTACTCCTGTGTAGGATTGTGTGTGTCGTGGGGGTGCATTGTTAGAAAAGTAAGAGTAGTCTTTTTCCATAATTGATTGTCCCATCCTGCAATATACCCTACAACCTGGATTAAATCAGCAGATTTAGGCCAGAGTTCTTACTCCAAAAAGCTTTAATGGCAGGCACTGTTGCTGTTCAGGAGGCTGTAAAATTTGTGTTTCCAGTTCAAACTGCAGCCAGAAGCAATTCCCTTGTATCCCACAGTTCCAGGCTTTTAACCCCTTAAACTGCAAGGACCTGTACTTGGGCCCACAGGTAAAATTCCTGCTCTCATATTACAGGCGAAACAATGCACCACATGTTTATCACATTATATTGTATTGTATTGTATTGTTATATCATGACTAGCATGTTAAGCATTTGGTTACTGCTAACTTGTAGCTAGAGCATTACATTGGGACACTCTAAAGCACAACTTCTATTTCAAATATTGTATTTCTATCATTTTTAATTGTTTAATAAACTATAAAGAGAAACCTTAACATACTAATGTAAGGTACATTTTCCAGCATTTTTGCTGTATTAAAAAATGCACCATTTTATCATTCTTAATTGAATAATCAATAATTAATTTTGGAATTGTTCGATCGATATATATATATATATGGTAGTTTTATATAGCTATTGAATAATTTATTGTAATTACAGAATAATATGTTTTAAGATTAATTACTAAATTATAAGCTTGTGGTTTAAGGAGTTTAAGAAGTGGCTCTGTTGTTTATCTTAGTGTCATTATGCTTGTAGGGTGAAAATATGGGAAAAATAACATCATGATACTTTGACATTTTCATGATATATGATGTGCATCTTGATATTTTATTTTTCTGAGATTTGATAAGTTGGAACAGACAAAAAAGAAGTGGTGCCACATTCAAAACACACTAGCAAAACTAATGCATACAATGATTTTATTTAATGTTTAAAGCGCTAAATCTGGTTAAACAGTGCTAATTATCCTCGTTTTGCTATGAAACATGCAGTTGGTCAGTGTTTGCTGTTACTGTCGATATCCACAACACCATATTGTAACGTGATTTGATGCCGTTGGTCACAATAACGGTGAAGTGTTACTTAAAAACTACCTCCTTTCTCTTTCTGTCCCTTTCTCTCTTCCACTCACTCTCTTAGTCTCTGTCTGTCTCATTCTCTCTCTGTCTGTCTCTCCGTCTCTCGCTCCCCCTCTACTTTATAGGCCTTAGAAGAATCCATCTTTTACAAGCCAACTGGCTTTTTAGAACCCTCATTTAGAAGCGGGCTTCCTTAATTAAAAAGACCTTTGTGTGGTCCTGCAGCCTGTCTGGTTTATTTGTCCTCCTTCGTCTCCTGTGTTAAAACTCGCTCCCCTGCCTCGTCCATGTAAATCTTCAACGAGTTCCTTTTTTGTCCATATAACGTCTTTGTCCCATCGCTGATGTCTCAGGTTAAAGCACTTTGACACAGAGGCGCTCAAGTGTAAATAGACAGATTGAGACTGTACGCACACTTGTGGTTTCTGAAGTGTGTGTATGTGTGTTTGTGTGTACTCTCATGCAGGGTTACCGAAATCACAACCATAGTCTACGGGGATCTTCACCAATAAATGACTGCATTGTGGCTATGTTGATCTTCATTCGCTCCTAAATTAGCCAGGCCTAACAGAACCGTCCCTGAAACCTCCACCCGTGGTCCCTAGTCAGCCAGATTGCAGGTCCTTTGGATAGTTGTCAGGGGGGGATTGCTAATCCACTCTTCCAGGCCTTGCAGCTTCCTTTAAGACAGAAGAGAGATATCTATTAATTACAGCACTCATTAATAGGCCAGTCTCCTAGGACTGAGTGCGCCTGTTTGAGGGTTGAGGGAGGTGGGGCTCCACTAAATGGGTTTGGCAGTATTGAGCAGTGAAGTGGGGGTGTGGTAATGTGGAAGGGCCTGCTCTTTTGTTAGCTTTTAGGGGTTTGTGTGTGTGTGCATGTGTGTGGGTGTGTAATTGTGTCCGTGTTGAATTTGTGCATTTGCTTGTCAGTTTCTGTTGCATATACCTCTGTGTCTGGCGCTCTGTGTTGACTGGCTGTGAGTGAGGATGATGAAGCTGCAGATCCGCTCCACACTGATTACATTCATGTAGAACAAGTTGATATTGACTGCGGAATGAGTGATGGCGGCAGGCTCCAGGCAGCGTCCCTCTTCTCTGTCTGCAGCCCTGCACCCAGCTATTTCTACAGGCTACACCAGGAGATCATCTGTCATGTTGCATTTTGATCACCTCTTTTTTTATTGTCAGGAGCTGATAGTTTTAGTGCTACATAGTGTGGACGGTCAGTTTGGGCTTTTTGAGGACTCGATTGTACACTGTTATGTTATTTCAGTTCATTATAGAATCTAGGTTTATCAGTTTTCATCCAGTTAACTGACATATTATGTTCATTAATTCTAAAGCTAAGTTTATTAGTCCTCAACCAATCAACACATTCTGCACACAGAAACGACCTGTTTCATCATTTAACTCAGTAACTTCTTTGGGTCTTTGTCAGACTATCAGCCCAAACAGTGCTTGTGCTTTTTTGGAGCTCTCAAATATTCAAAGTACCCTCACAGCCAAAGCAACCCATTCAAACACCCTGTATACTTCCAACAACCATAACATTCTCATAGTCAGAATAGAGCTCACTCTGCTACCCCGCTACAGTCCTAATACTGCCCACATATACCTTTTCAGCTAAAACCACTAAACTTCTGGTTTCCAGACTTACTGGCTGTACCTTTCCTTACTGCAGACAGTGCATGTGTGATAAGTAACTACCAGCACAGTTAAAATGTTATTATACAAACATGTGACTAAAATTGACGTATGGAGTGCCTTGGGACACTCTTTGCCATGCTGCACACAATGCTTGTGTGATAAAGACTACCAGCACAGAGACAAATTATTATTAAATCAAACATTTGCATCAGTCATGTGTGGAGTACTTAGCACACAAAGTTGGGAAAAAATGGTATATTTAAAATGTCTAAATTGTTTACAAATATCGGTTATGTTGAGTGACATAGGCAACAAATGTCTAAAAAAGCATCTCGTATTGTGCTATAATATAAAAACTTTAAGAATGGCTGAAAAAGACTTTTTAAAATATTTATGAAGCGGAAACTTTAGCATAGTACTTGCACACGTTTGTGTGTATTTCTGCATATATACCAAACATTCACACACTCAATAATCGATAGTGAAGGTAAGAGGTAGACTCCTGTTAAGCAGTGTTACAGATACATTTTGTTCTAAATTGGTTGTTGCTTAATTTCAGCTTTGAATCAATTTTTCATCCTCTTAATTCAGAAACATGGTAATACTTATAATAATCATAGTGCTGAGTTTTTCTCACTGTTTTTTTTGTCTGTATAATACATCTTGTGGTACGCTAACGTTTTTGTGCTGGTGTCACCACTCTAGCTCCTATCCTCACTGGCATGTAGATATAGAATCACTCAGACGCTTTAGTGAGGCCCAGGGGAGCCCGTTGCACTGCGTTTTACGCGCCTCTCCTCTTATGTTTCCTCCCAGAGAAGTCATTAACACTGGGGAAAAATGGGACTGGGTTTCTGAATTCACAGTTGGGAGGCTTTATGTTAGCTGCTGAGTGCTCTCTTTTTTCCCCAGGTTTTGAAAGAGAGCGACAGAGAGAGATATGCTAGAAGGTTTTCTTGAGCATTGTGTGTCAGAGCCTGGGGCTTTTGCTGCCTTTGTTTGTCTCTGCCAGTCTGTCTGTGACAGGAGGATGGCGTGCCTTGTAGCCTGGCCCAAAAAACACGATAGAACACAAAGACTGCATGTTATTGGCTGTCGCTCTCTGTTCCCTTCTGATGGCTGAGATAATGACGCGCACTGTTTTGTTTTTCTGTTTTGTGTCTCAAGCAGGCTGCTCTGCAGAATGTCCAGCAAAGACCGCCACATTGAGTCCAACTGCCCCTCCTACATTAAGACTGAACCCTCTAGCCCTGCCTCGCTGACGGACAGCGTCAACCACCACAGCCCCGGCGGTTCTTCGGACGCCAGCGGCAGCTACAGCTCTGCCATGAACGGCCACCAGAACGGCCTGGACTCACCAACTCTGTACGGGCCGGGTGGTGCGCTAGGCCCCAACGGAGCTGGTACCAAGCGCTACGAGGACTGCTCCAGCACCATTGGCGAGGACTCGCAGATCAAGTGTGAATACATGCTGAACTCCATGCCCAAGCGCCTGTGCCTGGTTTGCGGCGACATCGCCTCGGGCTACCACTACGGCGTGGCCTCCTGTGAGGCCTGCAAGGCCTTCTTCAAGAGGACCATTCAAGGTTGGCTTTAACCCTCCCTCAGCCACTTAATGGAGGAGCGGGTTTTGGAGAATGCTAGGCTTAGCCCAAACATGATTTTGGAGTGGGCCTAGTAAGAAGGCCAGAGCTTAGGACAGGAGTGTCTATCAAGGAGTTCCACAGCACAGAGTTTAATATTGTATCTCATTTAACACTCCTGATTGAACTCAACAGCTAATTAGCAAGGCCTTCCTGAGTTATAATCAGAGCATTAGAACAGGGAAAATTCTTATCTTAACAAGGCTATGGTCCTTCCGTACCTGAGTTTGACATCCCTGTCTTAGGGGATAGGGGGAAAAACAAGACGCTTGATTCTTAGAGTCAGAGCAGGACAATCAACAATATACACTTAGCTGTTTAAGCTGCTTTCTTTACAGTGGAAGAGTGTGGTTAATACTTTCAGCAGAAGGTATAGTATTTAGTAGTGAGATGTTTTTAAGGTGATAAAAGTATTATAAGAGTCGATCAGCCCCTGACATTGTGAGCACGGGGCAAAATCGCCCTATTTTATTGCCAAAACCTATATCACACAAAGATATTTGTTTGATAAGCATGGTATGTCCATACATCAAAATAAATAATACTCTAAGAATATAATGCGATGAAAAACATAAGTGGATGAACAAGTGGGTCAGATATTATGCTTGGCCCGCGCTGGAGCCAGGCCCTCTGATGCTAGGAATTTGACATATTGGTATGTTTCATCCCATTAGCCAATGAAACTCTTGGTAATTTCCAAACCTGCCTCATCCAGCTGGGTGTTTATTGACTTCCAGGCTGACTGGTTTTGGATGGGGGAGGAGTGTAAGGGCGTCAGGAGCTACGGCTAGGTTTGAGGTGTGGAGTAGGGGGGCCATGGCATGGCCGCTGCGGCCACTGTGTGTCTCTGGCAGCTGGTGTAGAGGTGGCACCCCTCCAATGCCACCTGACAACCTGCATCTATCACTTCCCAATTGAGCCACTCAGAGCTACGTGAGAGAGAGTGGGCCACCATGAATATCAGCCTGTAGAGCTGCTTCTTGCCTATGAAAGCTTCTCTCTTAGTTCCCTCTCCCCATACAGCTGTGGTGTAAGGTCAGTCCAAGGCCACAGTTTGGACATGAGTCAGTAATGAACTCCATTGGCGTTTGACTCAGATTGATGAGTGATGGCATGTGGTATGAAGGAAGGCAAAGCGCCCGGGACACTTTTTTAAACACATTTGAAGCCTCTCGGCAGGTCCTGAGTGATAGACAATGGACATTGCACTAATCGAGTGCCGCCTTACTCAAATCACGTTGCTCGGTTCTGGCAGCTCTTGGGCCCATACTCAAACCACACACATAATGGAGCCTGCAGTGTTGATATCCAGGACACAGCTCCTGGGCCATTGACATGCAGCAGCAGAGGGAAAGCTTGCACACTAGATCGGTGAGGGTTTTTTTCCACCTTTAAACATTCCCTTCTAGCTAAGACAACTGTTTGGTCCCCCTGAGTTGCCCAGCACCTAAACATGCATCTCCGTTTCACACACACACATGCACACATGCACACATGATGTGCCCAATCCAAAGACCCTAATGGGACCTGGTGATTACCTGACTAATGAGTATTGGACCTTAGTCTAATGGACATGCATACTTTAAATACTGTTTCCTGTTGAATTAGCAGTCTTGAGCGTTCAGTCCCCTTGCTCGCACTGCTAATCTGCTTTTTAATGAGGAAACATCAGTTCACAGAAGAGAAGTCAATACAAATCAGTGTTTACAAAGTCTGATTAACTCTGAAATATTTCATCAGTGAGAAGGTCCCAGACGGGGCCTATGTTAATTGCATGTGTGTGAGTGTGCATGTGTGAGTCTGTGTGTGTGAGGGATGGAGATTGCAACAGTGAAAGTGTAACGTGTGTGTGTGTGTGTGTGTGTGTGCTATAGGCACTGCCATTACATATAATCTCTCTCTATACAGATAATCCAGGTTTTGTTAATTCAGTCCCGGTGTAGCTCTCAAATGTACTTTATGCATCTCTAAAATCTAATAGGAAATAATGTCAGCAAATATTTTGACCCAGCATTTTCTGACCTAACCTGTCCTTGGTGTTTAGACTCCACGATAGACTCCAGCACCCCCAGCGACCCAGGAAGATAAGCAGCTTAGATACATTTTTTGACCGATTAAGTGCTATCTAGTTTCTGCGAAGAAACAATACATAGCATCTAAGACAGCATATTATAAATCTTTGTAATAATTAACACTTGCACATCGGCAGTTTGGCATTTTAAGTGCCATTTCTTAAACATATGCAGTCTTACACACAAGACGCGACACAAATAAACTACATGAAAATGCGAAATATTCAGACATGATTTTTTATATATCAGCATTTGTCAAAAAGCTCTAATTGCTCCGTCATCTAGGTTGTCACCATGCCATTGCTAGAGATGACTGGCCAAACGAGGTCATGTTGTCTGTGAAAGTTTGCAAAGAAAAAAAACAGGTAAATAAAATAATGTTACATTTTCACCGTTTGAATTAATTTATTGTTGTCCAAATAAATCACACAAATAAATTGTGTGTAAAGACATTTTGGATGGTTGTAAAGACACATATTAAAGCTATTTTTGGGCTGATGATGAAAAAGGATTTTCCATTTAAAATTGTCTCTGTGAGCCACAACCAGAATCATGACCAAGCTAATTTACTTATGAGTCTATATTTCTTCGTACAGGCCGAGGCACACGAAGGCATTTCTCGTTCTTTCTTTCTTTCTGATAGCAGCAATGTGAGGACATACCATGGTTTTATGAAAAATGCTGCAGTAGAATGTGTTTTCCTATCTCTTACAGTTGTTATTTGAGCCCAGCTAGATTTAAAAGATTAATGTCATTGTTAATCCAACACTGTAATTGGTAACTCTTAGGTTTTCCCATCAATACTAATATTTAATCAGTGCTAATATTTTTCTCCAGCCTTCCTCCTGGAGAGCTACCATTCTATAGAGTTCCATTCCAGCTCGAATACAGTAATAATGTTACGTTGAAGACCTTGGCTTGATTATATGTTTTAGATTAGGAATGGAACTGGAATAGCTCTTCCAGAAGCAGGGTTGGAGTCACTGGGACTAGACTGTCATAGTGTTATACAGTATGTTCCAGTCTTAAGCGGTCATTAAACACTCTCCTTTTCTTTTCTCTCTACATGCCTGGCCACAGGGAACATCGAGTACAGTTGTCCCGCCACCAACGAATGTGAGATCACCAAGCGCCGACGGAAGTCCTGCCAAGCCTGCCGTTTCATGAAGTGTCTAACCGTTGGGATGATGCGAGAAGGTGAGAAGAGAGAGAGAGAGAATGAGTGAATGAAGTGAACAAGAGAAAAACATATCCTGTTTTAGCTTTGCTTTATTTCACAGCTCAGAGGTAAGAAAACTGCTCATTCAGTGGGGAAAAAGCCCACGGAGAAAATAAAAAACAAAAGTGTAGCAGGTCTAAGAGTCAAGGTTGAAAGCGAAGAGCTGCCCAGCACCTTGCCTTTAGGTCTCTCCTTGTCAGCCGGATGGCAGCTTTGGCCTCAGCCCCTTCGGCCCACTCTTAACTAACAAGCGAGCTTCTTATTTAGAGACCTGGCCTCCGAGGCATGTTCTCGGAGCTCTGCTGGGCAGACAAGCAGTTATGTTGAAGCGGCCGATCTCCTGTGGAAATGCTTTGGCCGTTGCTTTCTCAGAAAACATACACGCTCTGACATTGGGAGTTTGTGGAGGTCTAGCGCGTATGTGCTAAAAAAAGTGTCCGCTAAAACTTTGCACTGCACACCATACGATATTTAAAATAATGGTAGAAAAAAGGGTTCTTTAGAGCTGTGCCATAGAAGATCCACTTAGCTTCCTAAGGAACCTGTCAGGATTTCTGCAAAGTTGACAGTTGAGATATAAACAAGTCATTCATTGTGATCTAATGTGAAATGGTGCATTGTGCCAAACCAGGAGTTGCGATGTCCACAACACAGATGAAGCTTTTAGCAAACTGTCCACAATGACTAATGAATCTACATGTCTTCTGAGTTTGTATTTATAGTGTTGATTGTGATAAATCCATGAATGGAATTTGAAAAAAAAAAAAAAAAACTTTATTTCAGTGCTATCCCTAAGCAATCTCTCAGGCATCAGGCAGCATATTCGTAAACTTTTGTGTAATAACTTTATTTGCAGTAGCTTTTGGAGTCAGACGTCTGATTCCTAACACCACTGTACATCAAACCACTATAAATGACTTTGTTTATCTTAATGATCTAACTGTGCAAAAATGTAAAGAATTCCCCTTTAAAGAATTTGAATCACATTAAAAGGCTCCTCAGGGAAGAACCCTCTGTAGCACCTTTAGTTTTAAGAGTGCATATAAATGTAACTACATACCACTGCGTCCTGCTCCTCTTCCTCTTCCTCCTTTCTCCTCTCTCATTCTTTCTTTCATTCTCATCGGAGTGGACACGGAGTATTCTGTCTGCTTCCGATCGCATTGCCATCATACATGCGGTGAGGGGAGATGAGAGAGATTGTGAGGGGAAGGCTCTGCTTCTGTCACTCACGAAATGGGACCTGTTTGAAACGTGCAGGTGTGTGTAGAGGTGCTGACAGGCCTCATAGTCTCAGTGTAGAGCCACAGGCCAAGCGAAAGAGTGTGTGTGTGTGTGTGTGTGTCTGTGTACACGCGCACACGCTTTCCCTTTAAGTCATGATCAGGTAGACTGCGTCTTATTCAGAGAGACACACACACACAAACACACACTGACTTGGACGCACATATTCAGAAGCCTGCAGCAAGCTTGCCTCATGTAGACCTTAACGGTCAGCTCACATTAAACCAAAACAACACAGCTAGGGAGTAACAGCAGGCACAAACACCCCACAGGTTCACGTTTGTCTGTGTGTGTGTGTGTGTGTGTGTGTGTGTGTGTTTGTGTGTGTGTTTCTCAAACCTACAGTGTTGGGCAAAGTCAAGAGACCACTATACATTTATTTAATTTCCAGTCAAGATGACCATTAAGTACAAGTTATTTATTTTTCAGTATCAGTAAAAAATCAGGAAACATCTTTAGCAGAATGTTACACAGAAGCATGAACAGCTAAATACCAATTTCTCTTTTCTCTTTTCTCACAATCCAAGTAATTCCCTTTATTTGCTAATGTCGAGGTCTGTGCTCAGGAGAGAGCTGAGAACACCAGCAGCGTTGTTGTTTTATTTGGAAATTTCCTTTTTCATCTTTTTCCTTTTCTCAGTGAGTCTTCATAACAGCTACAGATCCTTTCAGACCCATAGCGTTGAGTTCTCATCTAACAGTGGAGGGATGGACAGAAACACCTGTGGATTTTTTTAATGGTTTTCTCCTATCTCTCAAAGATGAAAGTGCTGTTTATCTTTTAGAAACTGTCCCCTTGCTTGAGCAAGTTGAGAATCTTTTATCTAATCTCTTTGATTAATCTCATGAGAAATAAATTAATTGTACTTAATGGTCATTTTAACAGGAAATTAAATAAATAAGTATTTTCTACCGTTTTTACAGTACTATATGTACATGCACTTGTCTCTGTATATAGGATTTGAAATGCGGCTGGAAATGCATGCTTGTTCGTCCGTATATGTACGTCTGAAATGTTGCTCTTTCACGTCCTCACTCGCACACACGCTCACAGCAGTCCCGTTCAGTGTTACTGTAGGCCGATTTGCCTATGCGACTGGTGCTGGTGACAGGTAGGTAATTGATACGTAGGGGCCCGTTTTCAGAAGGCTCTGAAGGATGTAGCTGCATGTTTGATATGGCACCTTCCCCCAAGAGCACGCAGACAAATAGCAGCCTTTTGTTCTCGCTCCTAGCCACCCATACACACATATATCAAAATGGCACCCTATGGCATGGCCATTTGTTGTAAAGTGCTTGAATTTAATACTGAGGTCTCCCTCTACATATGAATAAGGGTCATTTGGAAAATTGATTCATCAGTTTTTCATATTTTTGCTCTTTGCCCCAAAAACATGATCTCATCATGTGAAAGAAAGGGGAAAACGACACAAAAAGCTTAATTCTACCTCACGGTTCTTTATATAAACCAGTTGTATTGCCTTTATAGTGACAGCCATTGTTTTAGTCACTTTTCACTTTTTTTCCCATAAACTGTGCCATCATTGTTTTTAATGGTAGTTTAGCATGGAAGTTTCTTGCAACCCTCAAGCTGATTAAACTTAGCGCTGTCATCTCAGGCCCATGCAGGTTTGTTAGTGGACGCTAATCGTGGCTGGCTAGCTGTGGAGAGGTGTGGGATAAGTCGATGTGTCAGTGGCCGTAGCAGGATAAGTACCGAGCAGCGGATACTTATGTGAGGTTGTGGGGGGGTTGGGGCCTTAGCAATGGCCAGCAGCTTGCTGTAGGGGAAGATGTGTCTGAAATTAGCTCTGTCACCCCAGGGAAAGAACGTCGGGGTGGGGAAAGGATCAGTAATCCAGATCAAACAGGATCCCTCACACAAACACACACACACACACACACACAGTTGTGATGAAATCCCTTCTCTTACTGGGCCAAACCCCATAGGGCTCTCCAAACCACCCAGCCCGCACTGCACTGGGTTAGGAAAGAAGTGCAACACACACACTCACACAAACTCATACATATGAACAAGGAGACCACAGCTCAAAACTCACTTCAGGGTCCACACACTCTCACCAAGTTACAGAGCCCTATACACAAGCACCACAAACCGACAGACACAGTTTCTAGCTACAAGGAAATTACTGCTTCCGACTACCTCTCTGTCTGACCCTGGGGGCTAGCCACCTGCAGTGCGGCTACCTCCAGTCACCCAGCTGTAAAATTACATCCACGGGTGCACAGACAGGCTGAGATATGCCCTAGAGCCTCGCGAAGAGCCGCACTACCCTGCTAAATGCTAATGCTAAAGCAGACACAGACACTGTGTGCTTAAGAGGGAATCGAGTTGCTTGTGGCTGTGTTGGAGAGCGCTCAGAACATGCTTTTGGTATAAGAGCATTGCCCACAGAGCAGAACATACACTCAGAATAGCTCAGGTAGAATGTGCAGTAGATACTAGGGCTAAGGGTTTTAGTCATATTTGATATTCAAACTTCGCATTATTCAAAATCAGATGTGTCGGATTGCTGCCATTCAGCATATAACTATTACTGCACTATATTAATCCCAGATCAAATTATATATTTAAATTATACTGTATTAAATACATTAATCCCAAATCAGTAATAGGTGACCTTTTAGCTTGAAAACATCAACTCGGGGAAGAGTTAGCTAGTTGATATGATAAATTCACTAAATTATAATTGCATTTTTATTCCACTAAATCTTTGAGTAGAGTGTAAAATCAACTTGAAAAAACTTCACTCATGTCTGCACGGCACCTCTTCCCAGGTGCGTACGGCTGAGCGGAATGTTCTCTCTCTGGAATAGGTGTGCAGGAATGGTGGCGATGATGATGATGATGGTGATGCAGGATACTCATCTTTCATGTCTGTGCCCACAGATGGATGCACTCCTCCAGAGAAACCTTAATGTGTCTCTTACATCTTTCTCTCTGTTTTGCTCTTTCGCTCTCTTTCTGAATAATGTTCCTCACCTTGCAACTGCCACCGCACTACACTACATAATGTAGGTTTGGCTACTTAAGCACATCTTCCACATACATGCTATCGTGCCATTACAACATACTTGGCTGTTTTTCTCGAAAGCTTCCAACATTCATTTGTCACTTCCTGTGGGAGTAGTAAAGCACTACATTCTTCATGATATAAAACAGACATTACCTTCAGCTCTCCCTGGTGCTCCCCACCCCCTTTCTTTCTCTCTGTTGCATGTGTACACACATCTCTGTACTCCCAGCAGGGACAGAGAGAGATGAAGCTCAGTCTTGCAGCGATGGGATACACCTTCCGAATATGTAACACCTAATTCCTGAAGTAGGCAATTAGACTCCCCCAATTATTTGGCCGTGTTATAGCAAGCAGCAGTCCTAACGAAGGCCTCGGTTTGGGATTCTGACAGCACGGGCTCTCTCTGCTAGACCATCTCTCTGGGGAGGCAAGCCACTGTGGAAGCAAAGCAGCCAGACCTGCTATATATGAGTGGTGCTGAGGTACCTATCATTTCTCCCACACCAGCTTATATACTCACGAATCTGTGTTAGTGAATGAATGAGAGAGCTGCGATCATCCAAAATGAGTCTTCTTAGTCGCTTTTGAGAGATCTGCTGGTTCCATGCTTTCTCCCTACAACATTTCCTAACACACCCTATATTCTATAGAGCGTA